CCCCCCCCCCCCCCCCCCCCCCCGCCTGCACAGCTTGATGCCACACACCTGATATTGAGACACACTTGCACATTACTGGTAGTGTGCTTACTCTAAGGTAACGAATAAACAGGGGGTGTGCACTAATACGAGAGGACAAGAAATCAGACTGATTAACAAACTACCCGTTGCAACAAAATCATGGAAGGACTTCCGTTACGAGCGACCACCCCAACAAACACAATAGAGAAGAGACCTAGATCTAACCCTAATCCAATCCCTACCTCAACCCCTACCACTATTCTATTCTACTCTGTATCATAGTGGTCGCTCGTTACGAAAGTCCTCCCAAAGAAAATGTTGATATTAGTAGAGAAAGACAAAAGGAGAGATGTAATATTATATAATAAAAGATCACATTAAAGAAAGACAAACTACTTAGATTCTAACAAACTGTTGGACAACAAATCAATCTATTCATCCTAATGAAATGTTAGGCAATTCATCAAAGGGTGCAACCATTTTTACAATTTATCTGTTAACTGGTCATCCTGACTTGGAAGCACTTTGCAACAGCTGTGTAAAAGTCTACTTACTAGGAGACAAAACAAACTTCCATGTACTGTAGACATTGAGAAATTTCTCTAAGTAGACTTTAGGCCAAGCAGAGTTGCTTTAGGCAGTATTTATAAGGTCAGGCAAGCCCCCTTGAAACTCTCCTACTCTTGGGGCCAAAAAAAGTGAATAACAATTGCTGCATTGTGGGGTGGGAACTACCGTTCAAGCGCCGACAAGTTTGTTTGAAGGCCTACTCTTCTGCTTCCAGTTCGGTTATTGTCAAAGTGGAATTAGTATCAAACTTCCTGATCTAGGTAGATTCAATTTAATTATAATTATAAGGTTATCTGGATATAGATCTAGCTCTATAGGCTATCTCTAGATCTAATCTAGATCTAGATTAGTCTCTAGATTCTAGGCCATCAAGCCACCGGAATGCAACTTTTTATCAACTTACCAGTAACAAGAAACAGAAACCATACTACTGATATCAGTACATCAAACAGCCGCTCAGTAGAAACTACATCTTCACTGAAATTGAAGAGTGTCTCACGAGGCTGGAAAGACACACTGAGAGGACCAAGTGGAAGTCCAGAGAAGTCCAGAAATGTGTGTTTCAGAACACTGTCAATAATAAAAAGCAAAGGGAGCCTGCCAACGATTACTAAAATTTTCTTCAAGGTAGACATGCCTTCGGCAATACATCTGTGTTTCCAAAATTAACCCTCCAGTCCTTTGTGAAGGAACTTGCTTCAGTGCAATAAACCAACAAGGGGACTCTAATCAAAATATTTCTTTCAGTGACAAACTGCCTCTACTTCTTGAACACTTCAGATTTTGTCACTACCAACAAGATATTGCTGGTGCTAGTGCCAGATTATCATTGCGGAAGTTGGGAAGCAAATCAAGGGAGAAAATTCATGAATTTTCATACTCTTGTCAGCTATCAAAACATGGATGACAATAACTAAAAGTTAAACAAACAATTAGTCTAACAAAGTCCTGAAACCATGTTGTCTTTTACAGCTGACAAATTATCCCCAAAAAATATCTTAAAAATCTAGATCTAGGTCTAACATTTCTTGTTTTCGTTCACGCTCCTCCGTTTGGCTCTCAATTCTCAACATAGACTTATATTAATATCATAGATTGTCTACATTGATACATTTCCGTTTTCGAAGTGAGACCACAGAATTAATTCTGTGATACAGACAGTGGCGGGGGCGCCATTGGTGCAATTGGTGCAAGCGCTCCACCTAACCCTGGCATTCACCTTCCCCATTTTCTAATTGTTCTAAACCAGTCAGTGCTCTAGATTTACATACTAGTACTCTAGCTAGCCTACATCCTTGCGACCCGTCACCCGCTGGCTGCGCGCGTGCCAGTGAAGAGACAGACGGCGAGGATGGTTTATGCTCGTCGCACTGCTTGCGGTAGTGTCTGCTGGGAGCTAGCAAAATCTTTGCACCAAAGTTATTTTTGTCACTGTAGAGAAATCTAGGCATCGTTCTTCCAGCACAAGAAGAAAGGTGCGTGAAACTCCAGTTCGCAGCACCAATTTGGTGCAAGCTAAAAATTTGATCCAAGTTACCGCTAGCCTATCTACTACACTAGTAGACTAGTAGAGTCTACGGTAACTCAATGAAGAATGGTATCGAAACTGTTGTCGCCCTCTACTGTGTAGCAAGTCCTGGTGCTGCACGAAGTAATTAGAAATATTTAAATCTTCTCAGATTGTGAGCATAGTCGAGTCGTTAGTATTGTTTCACTTTATTGCAGCTCTTAAGCGGTTTCATCTAGAAACAGTTGTAAATATCGATAGATGTAGATTACGGGATATCCTGCAGATTCTAACTGACTTTCTCTAGCAATCTAGACGAATCACGTTAACGCTTTGCTTCTTGTCCCTTCTTGTGCCATTCAGCAGGCTACAGTTAGAAGAGAAAGTGCACCTGAAAGAGCTTGGTCCTCATCTGTCGCGGGATTTTGAGCTCAAGAAATGTTCGCTTTTTTTCCTGTACGTAGAATGCAGTGGCGTCGCGTGGGTTGTAGACAAGGTGGTGCATTATTGGAAAGTGGACAAAAGGGCAATAGGCTTACTAGCTACTATTAAAATTGTAATGAGCGGTAGGCGGGCGCTCTGGTGTGGTCTGTTCTTTCTATTGCTTTCTGCGAGTTTCTCTGTGCGTGTTTGTGTGTTTGTGAGAGAGAGAGAGAGAGGGAGAGGGAGAGGGAGAGAGAGAGA